GAAGAGCGAGAGATCATCTCCGAGATCTTCATGGCGTCGTTTTGCCAACATCTCAGCACGTTCGGTGAGGAGTGAAGTGAAATCTTCTTCGATCTTCTCAACCCTCGGAAACTATGCAAATGTTAGCATCACAACGTGCAGAAGAGTGAACCACAAACCTTTTCGTCCAAAAAGTCAACCAAACTATCCATCCACTCTTTGAAGCCAGTGAACCAAGCACGTTTCTCCTCTGCCTCGGTTACGAGCCCCCGTAACCTCGCTTCTTGTTGTTCAAGAGATGTACGTTCATCTCCCAAGGAAATCAGGGACTTGGTGTTGGCAGCATGCGAGGTGGTTAGCTTGGTCAGGGCTTGCGACAGGCGGGCAATAACGGGGTCCAAGGTGGGAACTGGAGTCTGAGCTGGGACTAGACAGCAGGTTAGTTGCGAGTACAGGCGGAATAGAAGGCACGTACTCGGATGTGGCTTGTAAACCTGTTTTTCTTCCACAATCAAAGCACGATTGTTGTTTCCGCCTCTTCGAACCTGTGCCTGCTCCCAAGCTTGGGTCTCTTCGTCATCTTCCTCGCTGCACCAAGTCAGTCCATGCCATGGAAACTAATGGATAGACTCACACATCCTCGATCATCTCGATCATCCCCGCTTTCCTCCGTCGTTCTTCTTCCTTCTTGCCCTTTTTGCCCAATGCGATTCGCTCCTGTGCGCCAGTATACTCTGCGTCATCATCGTCACCTTCTCCCAAGTCATCGTCCTCCCGCATAAGCCGACTCTCAGGATGAGGCCCTTGGTCTATCTCCATATCATCGCGCCGCGTCACAGATAATGATATGAAATCTTCTTGAGGGATTGTCTTGCCAGTGACACGCATGCGCTCGCGTTTCTTTTTTGCTTCGAGTACTACAGAAGACATCGGGATTTCAGTTGGGCGCCCTGCCACGGAAACGTGAGTGGGAATCGAGCAAAAGTGGTCAAGATAACCTACTGTCGAAGACATCGCCCGCATCGAGATCGTTTTCAACCACCATCGCGCCTTCGGCTTCGTCGATATCCAATGTCATTTCTACGTCTTGTGAACTGGGTGTAGGCGCCGCGGGTGCTGACAAGGTGGCTGCTTTGAGTTCATCCAGGTACGCCTTGTCGTACACGGGGCCAGAGCTTGTCCTAGCAGTGATAGTGGCCTGTTCAAGAGAGTCTGGCATTCGAATCCTGTAATCCAGTTAGTAGCCTACATATTGGAACAACATGTAACGTACGCAGCAGGATTCGCCAGCTTGCTCTTTCTCCTGGGAGTCACCCCCTCCGACCCGTTCTACCCCAAACCAAATCAGAACTTTTCTCGCAGGATTCACGATCGCTCACCTCTTCGTCCTGCCCAAAGCTCAACTTTGCGCGCGCCTTTTGTTTACTCTTGAATTTGGTCATGAGGCTCATTGCCCCTGGGCCCGACTCTTCCTTGTTGGCGTCATTTTCAGGTTCTGGAGATGGTGGGCGAGCGCGGTTCGGTCGTGATTTTGTACGCTTGAAAATGGCAGCTGGAGCATCAGACATGGAAGTCGAGTTGGTGGCGGGCGATAAGCGCTGTAGTGGCTGTGTTTTATCACGTGTCCAATCATTGGCAATTTTATAAATAGTAAAGTCTTTTGTATGCTCGTGTGCGTGCTCGAACATAGAGCTCCTACCATTTACGAAATCTAAGGTTGAGCCAGGAAAATGGCGCATACTTCCCCGCGAACAGGACAAGCCCTCTCCATGAAGTGTCTGCAAGCAATCGATAATGGTCGGGCAAAGCTGTGAGCGTATGGCCATCGTGCCGTGCCAGTTCGACGCATATAGGTCTGCTTTTAAAGCTACTGAAGCTCCAAAAAGGCGACTGGAGGAGTTTCAAATACTTGCGCATAATCAAGTATCTCGGACAAACTCAAGTGCCTCAGGATGCGGAAAGAGGCCTGTAAGATATTAAATTAATTTTGCCCATATTCGAGCACCAGAACACGGAGACTTGGCGAGCGAACAATGGAAGCGTTGTGCTTGTTGAGTGAGCTAGAGACCTTGTACAGAAGGCCTCACAACAGCCTATCAATATGCCGAATGATGAAACCCCATAAGGAATAACATCACGCGACTACGATAAGCTCCGGCCGAGACATGGCGTTCATGATTCCCACGCACTTGGTGGCTAAATGAGCAACCCTAGCTAGCAGCGTCCCGGTAGTGCGGCTGAGGTCGAACCCTTTCGATCCGAATATTTGATCCAAACATGGGACAATTCTTTATTGAACTGGTAACTCCCGCTTAGCTCAGTGGTAGAGCGCGTCACTAGTAAGCGCTGCTTACGTAATGACGAGGCCGCTTGTTCGAATCAGGCAGTGGGAATCATTTTTGTGCATTTTTAGCCTCAGAAACACTCCCGGGAGGCTCAGAAGCGAAACACAGAAGTTTTGGCTTTTTCGAGGTACATTGAGACATTTATATTTTGTAGCTCCATTTTAATAGAGCAAAAATGGCCCATGAATCCACTGGTATTTATCTCCTATTTTTCCAGTGCCATCCAGAGGTGTTTCAGACAGCTGGCTCGCCACCGTACGCCACATTGGCCTACTAAGAGCTCGGCGCTTAAGGCACGGCTCCTAGGATTCAACAGCAGGTATCAAGCATACATTTATGAGATGGAGCTATACTCCAGTTCAAGTTACAAATTTGTTCTTCTCCCCAAAAAACAAGTAAGGGGGGTATACTGCTGGGCAATTTCTCTGGCCCAGCTTTGGTGCACCGGCTACTCCAGTCAGGTAAAGGCCGTTCTTGCTCGTGAGGTCATGGGGATGACTTGCTCCTAATTTGTACAGCCTGAAATCTGCGCATACAATCGATTGATACCAGATATTCAAGCATATACAAACTAAAAGTAACCATTCCACTTTTACACCCCTCCAAACACTACTTGTGCTGTTTACGCAAAAGTATCAACGCCAACGGCCACTCGGCTGTAAACCCCTGCTTCCAACCTTCTACATCAGTCCCTTCAAGCTTCTCCCCCTGCTCTCTCACATTCTTCACAAACCGATCTAAAATATCTCTTCCTTCTTGACCCTTGTCACCCGGGTGGTTAGCAAGATAATCGTGCAAAGACGACCACGTCCTGAGGTATTGGTGGAACGCATCCCAGCTCAAGTACTTGGAGAGTATCACTGGATGTTTCTCGCCTTGCATGGTAGGCTCGTGAGTCCCTACAAAGTACACTCGACGAATCGAATCGGGATCCCAAGGCGGTGTAGTTGGCACCGGCACTTTTTGAAGGTAACCTTCGAGAATCGATCGACCTATGCGCGGAATTTTAGTTTCTCAAATCTACGCGTGGCCAACGACTTCACCTGGCTGCTCCCAATGCGGCCCCAGACTATCTTCATCGTGCGAATACTTGGAAATCAAATGATCTAGCGATGGCCTCCCTCCAAACCTCAGCTCGTTGTAATTCCAAATCGCGACTGTTCCACCGGGCTTGAGCACCCGCGCGAGCTCCGGAAACAGCCTATTGTAATCAAACCAATGCGCCGCCTGGGCTATAATTTTCATGATATAGACGGCTTGAGCTGGTGAAAAGATGATTCTCACCAGCGATAGCCATATCCACCGACTCATCTCCCAAAAACCCCAACCTTTCAGCCGGTGAGACCTCAAACGTCGGCTTGTTCGCCAGATTCGTCTGTTCAACTGCCAACCGAGCATTCTCGACCATCCCGGACGACGGATCACAACCAACAGCATGCTTGAAACGTTCGGCGACTGCGACCGTCGCTTGGCCTTGATGCAATCAGCAAGCAAACTATCAAACGGGGTAAACAACCCGACCTGTCCCACACCCCAAGTCTACCACCTTGTCCCACGCCGCACGTCCCGACTGTGCGTGATAGCCGTATATAAACTCGAACAACGACTTGGGATACGTTGGCCTAAATGAGGCATACGACGCGGCATTGAAGGTTGATTTCGCAAACGTCGCCATGTAAAGCCCAGTTGATTAGCTCGTGTGAGAGCAAGTGTGAGAGAACGATGTGGGCGGCTTTGGTCTTTTAATAGAGGCGCGCGGCAGAAGACCAAGTCGATCAAAACGCCACTGTATCACTAATAAATCCTATTAAAGCCGATTTGGGACAATCGTTTCCATTACCATCTGCGGGATATAACGAAAGAGTGTAAAACAGCATGAAAAGCACTGTTGGGGTACTAAAAGACTAGAGTATAGTAAGAGAAAGGAGTCAGGATCGGTTCAGGTTTGTTATTGCTCGGTCTCGGCATAGCTCTGCCCCTCGTATGCCTCGCTCGGGGCATCGACCTCGTACTGTTCTTCGTCGTCGACCGCGCTGCAAAACATGATGAGCAACAGATATATGCTAGGATGAGAGGACATACAGCGCATCCTGATACTGCTGATATTCGGCGACCAAATCCATAATGTTGGACTCAGCCTCTGTAAACTCCATCTGGTCCATACCCTACCAAGGCATAGTTTAGATCTACGCAGGCTATTCGAGTAAATTTTCGTACCTCGGCAGTGTACCAATGTAAGAACGCAGCTCGCTTGAACATGGCAGCAAACTACCGGCAACTTGTTAGTATGCTAAGGCTGACCTGAAATGGCAG